ACAGCAAGTAAGAAATGGAGAGCTAAAGAAAGAAATACTCTCAGGTGGTTGGAAGGACGTAACTTCCTAAGGAAGCAAGAATTCACAGGTTTTGGGTTATCATGTGAAAAGCTGGGAGGTTCAAGAATCTGGCTACACTGATAAAGGCACCTTTGTGCATACCATACAGCAATGCATCATCACAGACGGTGTTCAGTATGGTCAGAAGGATGGTGACAGAGAATAGAATGAGGATGTACAGCTCTGCCCTTTGCTCATTCCTTTCCTGCTAAGTAAATCTGACAGGTCCGACCCACAACTATGTTGCCTCAAGGACGGTGCACAAGTTATTGCACTTTTAACTACAATAATAATTAATAGATGGCTGCAAAGGGAAGTGGCATGCACAGACTCTCCAAGCAAGCAGGAGCAAAACTTGAATGTTTTTAAGATACTGTGCTATCGAAACTTTGATTTGCAAAGGGTATGTAAAGCAGGAAACAACTTCTTTCACATTAGCTCATTAGACGGACATTTGCACTTAGTTTTCTAAGATATCTCAAGCTGTTCATCATCTGTTTTATAAATGGATGGTTTTCATTTTTTTAAAGCTGCCACAATACAGGAAACTATGGAAGCCCATTCCCACCAGTTACTCCGACTTAGCTAATTCGAAATTCTGACATAGCTAAGTCAAAATTCCGACATAGCTAAGTAGAAATAATGACTTAAGTAAATCTAAGTAGAAATTCTAACTTAGCTATGTCAGAATTTCGACTTAGCTAAGTTGGAATAACTACATAGCTAAATCGAAATTCCGACTTATATATGTCGAAATTCCTACATAGCTCAAAGTATCTTGACGTAAGCCTGTCAAGCGACCTTACGTCAAGATACTTTGAGCTATGTAGGAATTTCGACATAGATAAGTCGGAATTTCGATTTAGCTATCTAGTTATTTCTACTTAGCTAAGTCGAAATTTCAACTTAGGGAAGTGTAAGTAGGAATTCCGACATATCTAAGTCGGAATTTCGACTTAGATATGTCGGAATTTCTACTTAGCTAAGTAGAAATAATGACTTAGAGCATTTTATTTCTCATTTAACTGGCGGGAATGGGCTTCCATAGGAAACAATATCTTTGAAGCTAAAATTTCTGGGTCCTCTCCAGACCCCATTTTTGGTTGTGAAATCCTCCCTGTTTTCTAGTTCTCAAGGTTGGCAAGTATGTGTGAGGGTCAATGGCCCAGAGCCAGACAGAAACAAGGATCTCATCAGATAACAGAACTTTACTGAAGGATACAGTTACAGTATTATTCAAAATAATAGCAGTACAATGTGACTAACCAGAATAATCCAGGTTTTTAGTATATTTTTTATTGCTACATGGCAAACAAGTTACCAGTAGGTGCAGTAGATTCTCAGAAAGCAAACAAGACCCAGCATTCATGATATGCACGCTCTTAAGGCTGTGAAATTGGGCAATTAGTTGAAAGGGGTGTGTTCAAAAAAATAGCAGTGTGGCATTCAATCAATGAGGTCATCAATTTTGTGAAATAACAGGTGTGAATCAGGTGGCCCCTATTTAAGGATGAAGCCAGCACTTGTTGAACATGCATTTGAAAGCCTGAGGAAAATGCGTCGTTCAAGACATTGTTCAGAAGAACAGCGTACTTTGATTAAAAAGTTGATTGGAGAGGGGAAAACCTATAAAGAGGTGCAAAAAATTATAGGCTGTTCAGCTAAAATGATCTCCAATGCCTGAAAATGGAGAGCAAAACCAGAGAGACGTGGAAGAAAACGGAAGACAACCATCAAAATGGATCGAAGAATAACCAGAATGGCAAAGGCCCAGCCAATGATCAAAGACAGTCTGGAGTTACCTGCAAGTACTGTAACAGTTAGAAAATGTCTGTGTGAAGCTAATCTATTTTCAAGAATCCCCCGCAAAGTCCCTCTGTTAATAAGTCATAAATCAATGTTCATATGCGGTGACTTCAATATAGATCTGTTAAATCCAAACAAGCACACAGGAACTGAGGAGTTTATTAACACATTATACAGATGTAGTCTATATCCAAAGATTACAAAACCAAGTAGAGTAACAACTCAGCATGCTACAGTAATAGATAATATATTTACCAATGTTATTGACAGCAAAATAACAAGTGGACTACTTATAAATGATATTAGTGATCACCTACCAATATTTGTGGTTTATGAGGGCCAGTATAGAAAAGAGAGGCCAAAAACAAATTTTTTCTATAGGAGGGAGATGAATGAACATGCTTTAAGGAGGCTAAAAGAGGATTTTATGGGGCAAAACTGGGAATCAGTTTACAGAGAGGAAGACTTAGATAATGCATATGAGAACTTTTTAAACATATTTAAGACTGTATATGACAGGAACTGTCCTCGTAAGCGGTATAAAAATAAAAAGAATTACAGTGAGAGACCGTGGATGAGCAAGGGATTACAGAATGCATGCAAAAAGAAGAATGTGTTATATAAACAGTTCATTAAGGACACTGGCCTAAAGAGAAATGGAGGAACATTTTGTGGACTGATGAGAGTAAAATTGTTCTTTTTGGGTCCAAGGGCTACAGACAGTTTGTGAGACGACCCCCAAACTCTGAATTCAAGCCACAGTACACAGTGAAGACAGTGAAGCATGGTGGTGCAAGCATCATGATATGGGCATGTTTCTCCTACTATGGTGTTGGGCCTATTTATCGCATACCAGGGATCATGGATCAGTTTGCATATGTCAAAATACTTGAAGAGGTCATGTTGCCTTATGCTGAAGAGGACATGCCCTTGAAATGGTTGTTTCAACAAGACAATGACCCCAAACACACTAGTAAACGAGCAAAGTGTTGGTTCCAAACCAACAAAATTAATGTTATGGAGTGGCCAGCCCAATCCCCGGACCTTAATCCAATCGAGAACTTGTGGGGTGATATCAAAAATGCTGTTTCTGAAGCAAAACCAAGAAATGTAAATGAATTGTGGAATGTTGTTAAAGAATCATGGAGTGGAATAACAGCTGAAAGGTGCCACAAGTTGGTTGACTCCATGCCACACAGATGTGAAGCAGTTATAAAAAACTGTGGTCATACAACTAAATATTAGTTTAGTGATTCACAGGATTGCTAAATCCTAGAAACAAAAACAACATAGTTTTGTGTTTGTACAGTCAACGAGACTGCTATTTTTTTAACACACCCCTTTGTTAGAGATTGTTACATAACCTATCCTAGAGAGGATGTGAAAGTACATCACACTATGCTGAATGTTGGGATAGGAGGTTCTATTTTGGAAGGGAGGTGTTATATTTACCTGCAAACATTCTTTTTGTTAGGATAAATGTAATGTAAAGCTCACTTTACTGACTGGCTAACATTAGTGGACTGTAGGTAACTGACAGCAGACCCAGAGATCCCATCCACAAGAGCGACAGACTGAAAATGACCTCTGCACCCTGATCTCAGCTCAGCTCGGCTCTCAGTTTGGGAGCTAACGCTAGCTAGGAGCTGTTGGCAGATTTGATTTTATTTTATTTTATTTATTCTTTCAAACATGTAACAACAGTCAGTATGTAATCACACATAATTCCAGACATGTCCACAAAAATATTTTCAATTTGCTTATACCTAGTACATGCTTGAACGGAGTAGGAAGAAGTTAGACTTATCTAGTCCTACCCCCCTAACATCATCTTATCATCATTGGTTTGCAAGCAGTATTACTACATGGATACATATTCTACATCCACACTCCCATCTCATTAATCATTAAGCCTGTTCTTGCCCATATCTTGATTGACACATACCTTTATATCTGTGTTTAAACTCATCAATATTCTTACTGCTTTTTATGTCCACACTTAAATTATTCCATAGTTTTACTCCACTTATCGAAATACAGAATCTTTTTTTGGTTGTACGTATAGCATGAATTTTATAATTTAACTGAACCCTTAGATCGTATCCCCCTTCCCTTTCATCAAATAGTTTTTGAATACCACCAGGTAATAAATCTTTCCTGGCTTTATACATAAACACAGCAGTCTTGTGACCCACTAAATCAAAAAATTTTAATAATTTAGACTATATGAAAGCTGTATAACGCAAAAAACTGCAGATGACTCCATTTCTGTCCTGTTTGTGCTCAAAGTGAACACTAAGGTGGACATTTGGATGTAGTTGAAGCATCTGCTACTGTACGGGCATACTGTGGCTGTATGGGATAGTATTGTTTTTATTAACTTATAGATAGATGTAAGTAGTGTATATCTCTATGACTGATAATGAGGGTGAGGCTCCCAATATGGTGCAATTACCACAAATTCAAAATGGCGTGAGAACAACTTCACATCCTCTATATCAGGTTGATTGATAAGCTATAAATGGAACGGGATACCCATCTTTCATTCTGCCCTAAAATCTGCTGAAATAAATTTGACTGAACTTATCTTTAGAGGGCAGATGATGTTCAACACTGCTACCATGTCTTTTTCAGACAGTTTTTCAGTCTGCAACAGGATGTTTCAAGATGCCATGTGAAAATATTACAAACCCCCACTAAATGGAAAATAGTTTTAAAAAAAGACATTTTAAAACTAGTTAATTCAGGAGCATGTAGCAAATACTTACAAAGTACAAACCCATCTGCGTTTTCAGCAATAAACAAGCAAAACTCATCAAGATGCTACTAAAGTTAGTGTAGTAATGCAATAATACAGCAACTTCTATGTTCTAACTGTCCAAAAATATTTCCAGGGGTATATTGCCTGATAATTGCCATTATACCGTCTATCATCATCTTCCAATTCTTCTAACGGAGTGAAATAAAAAAAGCGAAAGCAATTACACTGCCACAAATCAAGGGTCAGCTAAATTAAACTGGATATCTTGTAACAAAATCAGATCAATTACTACAGTGTTGTTGTGTGCCTCCCTACGAGCACGTACAAACTAACTCCCTTCAGGGCTGCTCTGCTCAAGAAGGGTCCTACTTACCAGCAGTACTCCCCGAGAGATGAAGTGTGATCCGCGGGGCGAGCCTGCTGTACTGTACACTTATGTTACAACTACGTTCACGTTGCTTTTGATGGTATTCACTGCGTTGAAAAAAAGAGAAATGTGCGTATGGCTGCAGCGCGCACACACAACTAGAGGCAGTTACGTAACCAAAGCATCAGAGTTAGTTCACTCTGGACAATGTAGCGGAAATAAGCAGCCTAAGCCTAGTAAATCAGTTTTCCGTTGCTGTGGCTGACATAAAGCCGTCAGGCAGATAACAGCAATTTTGTAAGAACGCCCACTCTGTTTCGTTCAATGCAGGGACGCATGCGCATGTGGGTATGCGCACTGAATACATCCAGATGTATCTGTCAAAATGTACATCCCGAAAATCGATGGTGACGGTGCTAAAGTACGCAGGTTATCAGAAGGTTCCATGTCATCTCCAGCTAATTTGCCTTTTGCCTTATCAGTCGCTTAAAACTGGTTTTCACCCCAGAGGGAACATCTAGAAGGGCTTGGATGGGATTTCTGAACTCTGGATGCAGCACAGAGTGGTGTAAGGAGCAGGCTACCTAGTTCTTTTACTCACAGACTAGAAATACTCTTTAAAGAAATCACGAATTTAAAGTAAAAACACGTGTGCAAGCATCACAAAGTCTTTATGCAGAATAGCCCATTTCAGAATAATATTAGATTAATATAGGTGCATTAATGTGTAAATTACTTTAATGTTGCAGCTAGTAAAAATCTTGTTACTTTAAAATACTTTATATACTTCTGGGTATATATTTTGCATTCATAATATGTAAAATAAGTAGTAACTAAAGTTGTCAGAAAGGTGTAGTGGGTATTTGTAGCATGACCTGTAATTACTCAAATAAAAGTAGAAGTTCCTTAAAAATAGTGCACAGTAAAAGCACAGTACAGTAAAAAGATGATGTGGTTAGTCGCTCCCCACCACTGTGGACAAGATTCAGCTTTAGTTGTCTTGTACATGAATAATCAAACTGAGCTTTTATTTTTATTTGTCACCGGAGTTCCTTTTTTTGGAAGCCTTTGTTTAATATTAACTAGGAACTGATTTTAATTACTCATCTGACATTTCGTGACACTTTTGTCTCATGCTGAATACAGTCAGTATGCAAAGTATTCAGTATTTTGAACAACAAACTTGATGCCTTAGCTGAACCAGTTCTTCATATTCTCCCAGACAATTTTTACTCTCACACTCAAAATCTGTTGTCTATTGTTATCAAGCTTTATCCTCAACTCCTGTATTTTGTCTGTGTCCACCCACATCTGTGTCTGGACAGTGGTGTGTCTGTTACGAAGGTAAACGTGAACTCTTGTATAATAATGACAGAAGTAGACTATACTCAGTAACATTTGCAAGCCTTTTATTAGCCCACTTGGGACCCACACAGTGTGGTCATCACTTCCCTCTGTGCAGGAAACCACTGGTTCCCACCATTATTTTGGTCTGAGTATGTTATTTATGTCAGTTTTAGGGTAAGTCAAATTCAAATGTATCACATTACTAATTTTAGGTAAATTAGTCTGTTCATGAAATAGGGGTGGTACAGTTCACAAACCTCATGGTTCGGATCATATTATGTTTTTTGGACCGGTTAATTTTTATGATCAGCAAAGTAAATTAATTAATTTAAAAAATAAATACATTTGGGGGTGGGAGGAAAACACAACTTTCTGCTTGTTCAACAGCTGTTTGCTAAACTGCTCATAATGTCTCTCTGACTGGCTGATTATGTTGCATACAGGCAGAGAAAATGCAGTGGAAAAGCAAAGTGCAACCACCGCATCAAACCTTCAAATCCTCATTAGGTTCCCAATGAGGAAAAAATTAATGTCCCCTGCTGTGCAGAACAACATCTCAGTCTTGCTAGAAACTGAAGGGCCAGGGACAGCGAGGTAGCTTCTTACCAACAATTGATCGATGGTTCATCTGCATGCTGAATCATGGGGGTCATCTGTCCAGATCAGCTAGGATCTGCTACACTGCTACCATCAAAGATGATGAGTTTTATCCGAGGAACTAACTCTCTAGCTCTGCACAATATACAATATACAATATAGACTATACCTCCTGGCTACCTTTGCCTCTGTGGCCATCTACTAATGCTTATTGCAGCTGTGGCTCAGGAGGTATTGTGGTGGTCTCCTAACTGGAAGGTCAGCAAGTGTCCTTGAGCAAGACACTGAACCCCAAGCTGTGACTGAGTTGACGCCACAGATGACTGCCTTGGTTCTGTACCAGAGACAAATTCCTTGTGTGTGTAACATAGCTGGCCGATAAAAGTGATTAAAAGTTAACAGTACAATGCCTTTCAGCCTGTGGTACCGTCCTTGGGGCAACATAGGTGTTATGTCCTTCTCACCACCTGAGAGTATTTCTTTCTTTAGCTCTGCATTTCCTACTTGGCGTGTTAAAGTGCAGCTGTATTGTTGTCTGGGTTGAAGCAATACTCTTACACAGTACCAGGAACAGGTTGTGATAGAGTTTGTCATAAATCAGGATAAATGCAGAAGAATTTTGATCGTGGGAGGAAATAGGGAGAGGGTAGTGGAAAAACAGGAGTCTCACAGGTAAATCGGGGGGACTGGCAAGTATGGGTAGTCCTTTTAGTATAAGGTAATATAAGAGGCTTTAGCTGCCCGCAGAGCAGCATGTAATATGAGCGCCAATGTTCATCCCTAATGAACTTTGATCCAGGCAAATCCAAACAAATCCAAATACTGTGGCTGCTGTGTAGGCTGCCTGTGGACTGAATGTGATGTGCTGGTGCTTTCTCTATCAGCGTTAGGAACCAGCCTTTAGGGAGTCATGTTGTTGCCTGTGATTTTGTACATCTCTGTTATGGCGATAATAAGCTGATACTCAAGGACAAGATAAAGCTTCTATCAGGCAGCACAGCTATCTGTGTTGTTGTAGTCTGTGTTTGTGTGGTATTTATACTCTTTTTGATTTATTTATTTACCATATATGTGGGTGGCACAGTGATGAGGTGATTAGCACTGTCGCCTCACAGCTTAAAGGTTCATGTCCCGGCAGACCCTGGGCTTTTCTGTGCGGAGTTTACATGTTCTCTCTGTGCCTGCATGGGTTCTCTCTGGCTTCCTCCCACAGCCCAAAGGCATGCAGCTTAGGTTGATTGGCGACTCTAAATTGCCTGTAGGAGTGAGTGTGAGTGTGTGTGGGTGTTTGTCTATATGTCAGCCCTGTGATAGCCCTGTCCAGAGTGTAGCTCGCCTCTCTCTGTCTGAATTGCTGCTGTCATCTTGGCCAGATCAACATTACAAAAAAGATTGCTAACCTCAGTGGGAATTTTTAGTAGTGTGTTTTATTTTAGGACACTAATCATTTATTAGATTTTAAATTACCACAGCCAAAATATCCCTTCTAATCTGCTGGTAACATAATTGCCTTGTGCAGTTACAAACATGAAGACTACATGGTGAACAAATGTTTTCTGGCTCTAGAACCGTGGACAGTATTGGAGTTGTGTGACTCAGTCGAGTCAGTCTGAAGTGTACATCAGTACTTTACAAGCCTACTAATTCTACTGCAGCATTTCATTAGCAAGTTGTGGTTTTCATGATTCATGCCTGACTGAGCACACAGTGGGTATATGTTGTTCTTTCTGCAACAAATGCAGAAAATATAGTATAGAACAACTTCTCTTGGAGACATACTGTACAAGAAGGATATTTTTGCTTTTCAGATGACAGTTGTGTGCTTATTGTACAGTCTTTGTTTTCACATAATCTGCTAAAAGAAATCCTACACAGGTGTAATGAAGACTACATGGAGATCATTTGGTAGGGTGGTATTTTGAATGTAACTTCCTGTTCTGTTTAGTTCAGTTCAGTTCATATTTATAATGTTTAAACCATAAACTGTCTTGCAGAAAGGCAGCATAAAAGTCATAAAACGAAAGGGCAAACACAATAAAACAGCAGGACATTAAAGTAATAAAAGTAAAACATTGACTGGACTGCATCTGACAAATAGTGCTGTTGTGGATAAGTTAAAAGAATTCATTACTGTGTACCTTCAAACTGGGTTTAACACTTGTCTTACATTTTGTTTGTTAAATCATTTCGTTCTTGTACTTGACTTGAAGCACTTTTACATCTCATTTCACTGTGGTGTAAATTTACTAGAAACCCAGTCAAATGTTTGGGTCTCCTGCTAACCTTTACTTAATCCAGGAGGCTCTTCACTGAAGCCTAGCAAGCTGAATTTACTCATCACAGACAGAAACGTCCAGGTCAGTACCTTCGCTTCCAGGACAGACAACCATGGTAACTAACAGCTGAGTGCTTTTCCACCGTGTTGGCAGTCCAAAGCACACCAGC